GGATGGAGAGCGACAACAAATAAAAGGAGGGGGAAAAAAGAGAGACTTGAGCGTCGTTTGTGTTTGTTGGAAAGAACTCTAAAAGAAAGGCCTCGCAAGAGAAGATGGGACATCAGTGCGTGTGGAGGCGGAAAGGTGGGCTTAAAACCCCCAAGGGATGTCCTTTGTGGCTGGAGGGCTGGCGTCAACAGAGAAGAGAGAAAAAAAATAGATTTATACCCCGCCATACAGGCCATCTAGTCCAACCCCCTGCTCACTGCAAGATCTGCCTAGAGCATCCCTGAGAAGTTCTCGTCCAGCCACTGCTTTAAGACTGCCGGTGAGGGGGAGCTCAAAACCTCCCTAGGTGGACTTCATGCAAAAACTACAATCTTAGCCCTGCTGCAGTAGCTTCCACAAGTCATCTCTCTCTCTCTCTCTCTCTCTCTCCACACACACTCTCAACCCGTCCAAATTTTAAAAACGATGGCTTTGAGCTGATGCAAGGTTTTTAGGTGCCCATGCCTCAGTCCAAAGGAGCATGAAGCTACTTCAAAGTCTCCGAAAGCCCCCTGAGCAGAAATGTGGCAGTGAAGGAGGAGGATGCAAAGAAACAAATCCAGCCACTAGTCCCCTTTGCAAATTGCTCACTGGCAGGATTCTAGCATTTCTGAACGGTATCTATGCAGAGAGCCTCGGGTGATGGATTAAGTGTGTCGGCCCCTGTCATTCCCCGGCCAGCGGGGATCTGCATCTTGCAGAGTGCTTCTGCCCACGTGGTGTGTGCCTACATGGATTGGATTACAATTCTTCGAATGACATTTCCAGCAGTACACAAAACTATAGAGGGCAGTGGTACCCATGGCAGAAACAGCAGGAAGCTTGACAAGGTAGCCAATCGGGGTTGATACCAGATGACGGGGCCCCAGAGTTCTAAGAATCAAAAGTAGGAGGAGCACCGAAAGGGGTGTGGTCCTTTGCTAGAGGAAGGCACAAGCTCCTCCCATTGTGCTTGATTGGGGATTTGGGGGGTGGAGCCTGGGGAGGGTTTAGGAGAGAGGAGGGGCTTAGTGGGGTATAATGCCACACAGCTCCGCCCACTGACACACCCATTTTCTCCAGGGGAACTGATTCCAGTAGTCAGAAGTTCTGTTGTGATTCCTGGAGGTCTCCAGGGTACACCTGGAGGTTGGCCACCTGAAGGGGAGCCGCATGTGTCCCAAGTACAATCCCATCACCTCCTCCTCCCCGTCGGCGCGGCTGGCTGCCTTGGTGACTTCAGCTGTGGGGCGGGGCAACCTCTTTCCTTGCTGCTTTTTTTTTTGCTTTTAGCAGCCTTCAATGCTTTAAACGTTTCTGCCGTGGCAGGAATAAGAGTGGCACTCAGCGTGGCCCTTGCCCAGTCGGCTGAAAACCGCCGTCAGTCATGATTCTCTGTCGCTGCAGTTTGGTCAAGTGGTTAAGTGCACAGACTCTAATCCGGGAGAACCGGGTTTGATTCCCCACTCCTCCACTTGCAGCTGCTGGATGACCTTGGGCAAGCCGCAGTTCTGTCAGAGCTGTTCTCGAAAGAGCAGTTCTCTCAGAGTTCTCTCAGCCCCACCTACCTCACAGGCAGTGTTCCCTCTAAGCTGAGTTAGTGTGAGCTAGCTCACAGTTTTTTTACCCTCCGGCTCACCCATTTTTGTCTCAGCTCGGGAAAGAGGGCTCCAGAGCAAACTAATTCATGCAGTAGCTAAATCACCTGCTCACAACTTTAATGCTGGTGGCCCACAAAGTACAATTTTTGCTCACAGGACTCCACAGCTTAGAGGGAGCATTGCTCACAGGGTGTCTGGTGTGGGGAGGGGAAGGGAAAGGAGTCTGTAAGCCGTTCTGAGACTCTGAGTGAAGGGCGGGGTATAAATCCAATCTCTTCCTCCTCCTCCTCATTAGGTTGCTCTGTCCCTCCATCTCTATGGTGCACGGCCTATGGCCTTATTATCTGTTCCTCCTCCTCCTTCTTGTTAGGTTGCTCTATCCCTCCATCTCTATGGTGCACGGCCTATGGCCTTATTATCTGTTCCTCCTCCTCCTCATTAGGTTGCTCTGTCCCTCCATCTCTATGGTGCACGGCCTATGGCCTTATTATCTGTTTCATTCATTTAGACCCGCCTTTCTCCCCAAAGCAGCTTACAACCATTCTCCTCGCCTCCGTTTTATCCTGAGTGCGGCAAAGCACTCAGAGTGGGACTGTGAGTTTTTGAAGGCCCCGGGGCTGCCGCCCTCCCTTGTGCTCTCTTCCAGCCACTGTCAAGCCGCATCGCTCTTTCTTTGCATGGCTCTGCGTGCAAGAAACTGGAAACCACTTCTGAGCCTCTTCTTGCTCCCTGTTTTGGGCCACAGGGGAGGGTTCAGTCCAGGACAAAACGCAGAATGGAAATAAATGGTGCACGGCACTACTAGACTTTGCATTCACATAGCCAAGCAAGTTTTTTAAAAATAAGCTCAGTGTAGCATTCTGCGTGAAAAATACCTCAGAAGGTCATTTTAAAGCCAGTTTAACCAAGACTCAGGAATTCCTGATAGAGCTGGCTTATGTCTACCTAGGGTTCCCGACTGGGTGGCTTTTTTACTGGCAAAACTGGGTTTTCCGCCATCTGACCAGTTCAGTCCCCCCCCGGTATGATGGAAGGAATTGTGAAGAGGCTGGCTTTTAAGCTATTTAGGGTCTTTTAAGACATGGGAATTTGCTGTAACTTTAAGCCTTGTGCAGAACTAGGCTTGTAGCCAATTTTAACTTCCATTATCAGGAGAGGCCCTTCTGTGCCTCCAAAGCAGATTCACTAAACCTTCCTGGTGTCTTACCTGTGGTGAGTAAATCCATATAAGGTGCTGGAAGAAGAAGAAGAAGAAGAAGAAGAAGAAGAAGAAGAAGAAGAAGAAGAAGAAGAAGAAGAAGAAGAAGAAGAAGAAGAAGAAGAAGAAGAAGAAGAAGAAGAAGAGGAGATTGGATTTATACCCCGCCCTTCACTCAGAGTTTCAGAGAGGCTTACAAACGCCTTCCCCTACCCCTGAGAGAGCTCTGATAGAAACTACTCTTTTTTCAAGAACACCTCTGACAGAACTATGGCTTGCCCAAGGTCATCCAGCAGCTGCAAGAGGAGGCGTAGGGAATCAAACCCGATTCCCTCAGATTAGAGTCCGTGCATTTAATCGCTACACCAAACCCCAACTCACCAGTTCAGACAGCCACACTATCCCTCGTTTAATGAAACCACAGTTTTGTGCTGTGTGTGCCCTGAGCCAGTACTTAGACAGTTGAGCGGGAGACACAGCACAGGGAGATGGGCGTGGGCGCTAGCTTTTTGGCTGGCCCACGTTAGCCTGACTTAGCTGTGCTCAGAAGCCAGCCCAAGCAACCCCACCTGCACCACAGGTGACAAACCAGAACAGCAGAGCAGCTGTGAGGAGACAGGGTTTGTTAGATTTGAGTCCAGGAGCAACTTAGAGACCGAACAAGAGTTTCAGGGTATAATCTTTTGAGAGTCAAAGATCCCTTTTGGGAGTCAAAGCTCCCTCTCAAAAGCGGACACCCTGAAACACTTGTTGGCAATGCCCCCCTCTAAGCTGTGGAGTCTGGTGAGCAAAAATCCTACTTTGTGAGCTCCTGGCATTAAAGCTGGGAGCGAGCCATTTGGCTACTGCATAAATTAGTTTGCTCTGGAGCCCTCCTTCCTGAGCTCAGACAAAAATGTGTGATCCAGGGGCTCTACAACTGTGAGCTAGCTCACACTGAGCTTAGAGGGAACACTGCTTGTTGGGTCTCTAAGGTGCGACTGGACTCAAATCTAAGTGTTCCACTGTAGACCAGCATGGCGACCCTCAAACTAGGTATGATTTGTGTGCTTTTTGTAGGGTTCCAACTTCCAGGTGGGGTTCAGAGATTTCCCGAATTACTACTGATCCCCAGTTGACAGAATCGGTTCCCCTGGAGAAAATGGCTGCTTCGGAGGGCGGATTCGAGGGCATTGTACCCCACGGAGGTCCCCCCTCAGGCTCTGGCCTCAAATTTCCAGGAGTTTCCCAACCCAGTGGTGGCAACCTTAGCCTTTCACCATCTCCCAAGAGGCGCCCTTCTCCTCTTACCATTCAAGGCCAACTGCAGAGACTCTCCACAGCCAGGCTAACATGAGTCAATGTCTCCCCCGATATACACACTACACATGGTGCTACCACTGGGTTTCCTCAGGATGAGAATGTCTTCGGCTTCTAAGCTGTAACCAGTGTTCCCTCTAAGCTGTGCTAGGGTGTGCTGGCACACAAAATTTTATCTGGCTGCTCAGGGATTTTAGCTTCCAGCTCACAGGCATTTTCCCTCCATTGAAAAGGGGAGGGGGCAGACCTCTGAAGGCCAGGTCTACCAATATAGTGGAAAGGGACAAAAAATGTGTGAGCTGGAGGCTAAAAAACTGTGAGCTAGCTCACACTAACTCAGCTTAGAGGGAACACTCTCAGGGATTTTAGCTTCCAGCTCACAGGTATTTTCCCTCCATTGAAAAGGGGAGGGGGCAGACCTCTGAAGGCCAGGTCTACCAATATAGTGGAAAGGGGCACATAGACCTGTTCTCCTCTACCCGCATAGAGGACAACATTTTCTGTAATGAAATCTGACTTGATTCTGTTTTCTCTTACGTTTAAATTATTCTTAAAATGTAATTTCAATATAGTTTAAAATAATTCATCCTGAGATTTTTTTACAAGGTTATAGAAATAATCTTCCAAAAACTAACCTCCATAAAGGTAACAATCTTCTGAAAACTAAGTCAAATGCTCACAACTTTAATGCTACTAGCTTTTTTCGCTCACAAGGTAGGATTTTTGCTCACAGCACTGTGGAGCTTAGTGGGAACATTGGCTGTAACAGTAAAAAAAGGCACGCGTGGGGAAACATGCCTTCCAATATGGCCAACTTAGAGAAAAACAGGTACCTTGCTCACAGCACCTTGAATGCTGGGCCAGGATGGGTGGTTGGTTAAAATCAGAACATCTTCAAATAGTCTGCAGCTGAACAATTCTAGCACCACACAAAATGCCCTTGGGTACACCAGTGATTTGAGAACTCACAAACCAAGCAAAACTGACCCATTTAATAAAGAAGCAGAATTCACATGTGTATGCAAGAGGAAAAAGAGGTCTGACACTGTAAAACCACGTTGATGATCCAGGGACACATGCTGGAACTTCGTGGTTGCTTATATGTCTCCAGCCTACCTCCGACTCTTCATCTGGGGTTGGAGCCGTTAGGCTCTTGAACAAATGACAAACCCCGAGCAGATGGGTTTCAGCTTAACGCACAACCCCATACATTGTGCCACATCCCTCAACATACATACATTTCTGCTGCTCAATTCCCATGTGGGCCTTCTCTGAAACAGTTCTCTTACTGCAGGAGGGAAGCATTGACCAGGTTTCATAGACAGGGGAGAAATGAAAGATAATAGGAACTCGACCAGCCCAAAGAGGCAGATATTTCAAGCATTCGTTACCGTATTATAAAAGGAACACCTCTACATACTACTGCTAAGGCTTGTATGTTTGCTTCAAAAGGAGGGAACCTACCGTTTTTTCATTCCCAAAAGGCATTGCTGTGGAGCACCATTCCCCAGTGTTGTGGGGAGTAAAGGGGGCAAAAAGACCCTCTCATTCGGCCTGACCCATTTCAACCCATAGGGCTACTTTACCAAGAAGACAGTAACCATAGCAACGAGTAGAGCGCAAGGCCTACTGAAGTCCCTTTCCACTGACAGTGTTAATTTGGGTGGCGTTAATTCGAGAGCAGTGGCAGCCTGTTAACCACCCTTTTCCCGCTATTCCCAGTCCTTGGTTCCTCCCAAGGCACTGTGGGAAGTGGCATGGATTGTCCCACCAAGAATAAGGCGGGGCGGGAGTAGAAAGGAATATAAGAGTTGGAGAATAAGGACGTAGCTATAAAAACACCTTTGTCATACTGTATTGGAAAATGAGGCCTTGTGGAACGGAACGAGGCCTGAGGCCTAGTTTTCACAAAAGGGCAGCTGGAAAGCTGGTGCCAGGTTGGGTCACTTCAGACTGCAGGTTGGGGGCTTCGATGACTGCGTGCCCGCTCCCCCAAAAGTTCTTGCGCACAGAACAAACAGTTGGGCCACAATTCTTCATCCTAGTTTTCTGTGTGGAGATTTTTTGTTTCGAAGGGGAGGCGTGTCCAGTTGTGCGAGTTCCTCCTGTAACATGCCTCCATTTGCTGTTTGTGACAGCGATCTAGGGTTATGCGGGAGACCACAGAGCTCCCCACTCCGACTAAAAAAATAAAATAAAAACAACCCTACTAGCCAAGGATTAATCACGTCCTACTTACATATAACCTTGCCCTTGGGCTGTTTGATCTTTTCTTTGTTTTTTTGTTTTTTAAAGAAAACATTACAAACATCTGAACAGCCATTGAAATATTAAAAAACAATCATTTTTACAAAATAAAAGAAAAAACAGCTGTGTGATATTCCATCAAGCGGGCACCAGCCCTGTCTTTCTGTGTTCGGAAGCGACCCGCTGCATTTGAACCAGAGCATCACCTACGGAGGAACAGAGAATAACATTTGAGTTCCATGGCACTTTTAAGACCAAAATTTAATTCTGGGTATAAGCTTTCATGTGCATGCAAAGTCCGAGTCCAGTGGCACCTTTAAGACCAACAAAGTTTAATTCTGGGTGTAAGCTTTCGTCTGCATGCACACTTCATCAGATACACTGAGACAGACTTCCTCAAGCCTTACATGTTGGTAGAGAGTGGGTGTGGGGTTTAGTTGCCGGGAAGGGCTAATTAGAGTCAAGATGCATAAGTAATTGAGCAATAAGTATAGCTATGATTGGATTTTTTCCTGGGGGAACGCACCAGAACGGAGTTCCGGAACCTCTTTGACAAAATCCTTTTAAAAATGTTTAAAAGTTCATGAGTTTTCAGTATACGGATTGAAAACTTCATCTTCTTGAGAATGTCTCTGAGATTTTGTAATGCTTTTGAAATTTTCGATTATTGTTTAATTTAAAAAAAATGAATTTCTTTTTGAAACACCTGGCTTCCACCCTGCTGCCACAGAGGTAGGTGGAATGGGCTGTGGGGTATCCGGGAAACTGTGAGTTTTGTGTGCACCCATCTGGAACTCGGCCCCTCTCTGTGATGAGGCTGAACCTCAAGCCTGCCTCTAGATGTTCTTTTCTAGAGCCGATGTGGTCCATTCATGCTGGCTATATCCTAACAAGCAAAATGCAAATAGGGACCACGGTCAGATGATATAAAAAACCTGTAAGAGCACCGTGAAGCAAGCTCACTAACAATACATTGCATATGTTATAATAAAAAGATTTAATCCAACACGTAGTGAATTAATGATAGAGATTCAATAGAATTTATACACATGTAAGGTAGAAGAAGAAGAGGAGATTGGATTTATATCCCACCCTTCACTTGGAGTCTCAGAGCGGTTTACAAACTCCTTTCCCTTCCCCTCCCCACAACAGACACCCTGTGAGGTGGGTGGGGCTGAGAGAACTCTGACACAAACTGCTCTTTTTCAAGGACAGCTGTGCCAGAGCTTGTGACTGACCCAAGGTCACATCAGCAGGTGCAAGTGGAGGAGTGGGGAATCAAACCCGGTTCTCCCAGATTAGTCCGCACACTTAACCACTACACCAAACTGGTGTATCAGAACATATTTTGCCAGGCATGAACAATCCAAAAAACAATCTAAGGATCCCCTAATGATGAGTCAAGGGTATATTGTATACACAATATACAAGCTGAAGTCCTCCTGTACACACACAATCTCCAGGTAGATTTCCCGTGGTGCTTATGACAAGGACTTCAAGCAGCAACCCATCATCAGCTGAGCAAATCCCAAGGGACAATCGATAAAGACCATTTCGAGGAGACCCTTTTTCAAGAGCTGACAACCTGCTATTAATTTGGTCAGATACCACTTATCAGAGGGCATACTAAATAACGGAACACCACTGACCCCTATTCCTCCCAAATAGTCTGCTTCATAATTCCAGCATTCTAGATTGTCCTTAGATTGTTTTTTTGGATTGTTCATGCCTTGTAGAATATGTTCTGATATCTCCTACCTTACATGTTTACAAATCCTATTGAATCTCTATCATTAATTCACTTCGTGTTAGATTAAATGGTTTTATTACCACATATGCAATATGTAGTTAGCTTGCTTCACAGGGCTATATCCCAGGGGTCGTTTCATAGAAAAAGAGCTAGGGGAACTCATTAGCATAACTCATTAGCATATGCCACACCCCCTGACATCAGGGGCCGGCGGTGGACCTGCAAGGCCGCCGGGAGTGTGAGGAAGCCCCGCCAAGGCCCTCCCTGGCCCCAGGCAGGCAGGGGTGGGGAGAGGCGGGGAGGAAGCAACTTACCCTCCCTCTTCTCCTGCCTCCTCCTGGCTAAATGAGGGCTGGAAGCGGGGCAGCCGGAAGCAGGGGGCAGGGCTTCATCGTGTGCTCCGCCCCCACACCTCACCCGGGGGAACTGCGATCCCCCGCGATCCCCCCCGAATCGACCTCTGCTATATCCTAAGGCACAAATAAAGACCTTCCCCTCCAGCTCTGATTAACTGAGGTTTGAATTAAGCAGCTTGACTTTTCCACTGGCCAGTTTAATCCCAAGCAAACTAATCAAAGCTACAAGGAGACTTCAGCAGAGTCATTGTGAGTTGCTGCAAGGCCAACAGCCACCAAAGGAAACAGATCACTGCAGGAGTGACCTACACGAATGTCATCCAACAACTTGCCCCTCTGGGGCTTGCTGCTGCGCCCAGTGACTGCTTGCATTGTGTTGGAGGTGACAGAGAAGTTCTGTCTGGGACTTTTTGAAAAATAAAATAGTTCTTTTTTTCAGCTTGCCAAGATTTAATTTCCCCATGTTTGCTGATCATATCTTGATACAGTATGAAGTCATTATTTTCCCTCTCATGTTTGTTATGATAGGTGTCAGCCAGGCCTCTTGACTGGTCCTGGTTGCCATGAGAAGGGGGGGGAGTGAGGAATGTCTACTTTCGTTTCTGCTACTTCTCTGATGCCCTAGTGATGCCTGGTGTCTTCTCTCTCTTGGGAAAAATGGCCCGTTATTTTGGCGGGCTTCTACCTGCTGGCTGATTGGCCATGGGCCATCAGGGTCTACCTTGAATTCTGTATATCTGTTTGCTTCGCATGCTTTCCCCTCAGTTCTAACACGGAACAGTTAAGATGCCTGAATACTATCAATGTCTCAATAAACTTTTATTCCTTTGAATGACTGTTGTTGGGAACTGATTGCCTCAGGAGTCTGACAATAGGCATCTAGTGGTGACATTATAGGTGATGTTGGGGGACTTCTTCTTGTATTTAAGTGGCCACCAATTTTTCAGTAAACTGTCTCTAATCACATGACCATTACATCTCATAGCTTTTTAACGTGTTTTCCTAGTCGTTTCAATCCAAAAATGTCTATCAAAGAACAAAATAGTATAGTTCTTAACAAGGCCCTGACCTAGATGGTCCAGGCTAGGCTCATCTCATCAGATTTTGGAAGCTAAGCAGGGTAGGCCCTGGTTAGTACTAGAACGGGAGACCATCAAGGACACCCAGGGATGTTGCAGGTATGTTCTTAATTTGAGCACGGTCCTAAAACCTGTTCCTGCTGCTAGGCGATCACTCTTGGGACCTCATGAATTCTGGAATCACAGAACTAACTCACACAACAGCCTCTTCAGGAAGTGACTGGTTGCCGGGTCAGATCTTGTTGAATACTGATTGCCCTCAGCTTCAGCCCTATGAACACTGAATATCTGAGCCCTGTGTATATAGGGAAAGCAGCAAACAAAAGGACAAGATAGGGTTTATTTTAGGGAACCGTTTGGCCTTGGCGAGGAGGGGTTTGAATCTGGGTCTTCCTTGTCTGACCACCAAATCACAGTGGCTTCTCAGACTGGGGCTCTATACCGCTTCACTAACCGGCCCCTTTCCGCCCTCTGGGATCCCAGCATTGCCCTACATATAGCAGAATTTCATTAGGAACATCATACACGGAAGACAGAGCAGCAGATTGGTTCTTTTCCCCTCTGTGGGAAGAAGGATCCTGACGAATGTTTCATGCATCCTCTCTACTCAGGTGGGGGAAATTCTTACATCACAGACTCCCAAATGAATGGGTTCCCTTTTATTCATTTTATTTCATTTACTTCATTTTGCCCCACCCACCTTTCTCCCCAATGAAGACCCAGTGTTCTCCTCTCCTCCATTTTATCCTCACAACAACCCTGCGATGTAGGCTAGGCTGAGAGTGTGTGACTGGCCCAACGCCACCCAGCAAGCTTCCGTGGCAGCTTGGGGATTTGAACTGGGGGATCTCCCAGATCTTAGTTCAACACTCTAACCTCTGCACCAGAGTAGCATGTAATCTATTTGTGGGGGGGGGGGGGGGGGAAATTTTTTCGGTGGG